ACACACACACACACACACACACACACACACACACACACACAGGAAATTCACAAGGACACAAAATGAAGAGACAAACAAACTGCTTGTCATCCTCTTACTAAATCTTCTGGTACCGATGACTCAGAGAGGTTAGAATGAGGCAAAGAGCTAAAAAACAACAAGCATAAAATGTTTCACAATGACAGAACTGTTTGAACGAGATGGTCTCCCAACAGAGGGACCTCTCACACACACACTGCAGCTCCATTATGTACTTTCTACACTTTTTTTTTTTTAAATCTCTACTTTTGTTACAAGGTTTGGAATGGGACCTCCTCTCTACATCTTACGCAGAGTCAGCAGTGGCCCATGACCACAGGGGAACTATGAGGGAAATAAGTGTTCAAAAACCATATCCAATAATAATAAAACATTCACTTAATAATAAAAAACCAACAGTGATTTCTTGGTATTTTCCTCAGCAGTCAGTTCAATACATCCCTGGACAGACTGCTGACTCACACCTAGCCGCTGGGGACGAGGCCGACCTGAGAGGGTGGCTAACCGGCCGGGCGGTGGAGTGGGCGCGGTGAACGGCGTAAACATGCTCCACTTTGAGGAGCAGAAACAGGGTCAAAACATGTGAAGTCATCAGTGATTCAGTGGACGGTTTTATAAATAATCCGAGGGAAGGAAGACCGGAACACAGAGAGAGAGCGAGAGCGAGAGACGGAAGTAGAGATCGGTAGAGATAAAAAAATTAAAAAAATCTGAAGAAAGTACATAATGGAGCTGGAGTGTGTGTGTGTGTGTGTGTGGAAGAAAGAAGTGGAAAGATAAAGATGAGTAGTGGAGTGATAAGTGATAGCGATAAACCGTAATTGGAGTGTGGAGAAAGTAAACAAGATGAAATGTGTGTCTGCGTGCATGAGAGAGAGAGAGAGACGAGATGATAGAGGGAGCGTGTGGAGAAAGTAAATGAGACGTGAGATAATATGAATCAATAAGATGTAAGATGCAGTAAGATGCAGACAAGATAGTGAGAGGCCGAGCTGTGCTGCAAGCATATGGTTTCTTGATAAGATTTTGACTCCAATTATGTAGTGTTGAACAAATATAATAGTTTGTTAGAATACACACACACACACACACACACACACACACACACACACACACACACTTTGTATAGTCATAGCAATAACATTTTAGTCTCACTGGTATTAATCTTTCTAGCCAGAGTCACTAGTTTTAAAAATGATCCAGCCACTAAAGCATCATGATATCCATTACATCATTGAGATGTCTGCACTGCAATTTGTTGTTACTTGTTGGCAGACACATACACAATGCATATGCAATAAGCTTAATATGTGCCAATATATTAGGTTAAAAGGAGTTGCAAAGATGTCAAATAACACCCAGCCAAATATACTTGTTGCCCAACGTGCTGACAAGGCAAAAGTTAGTCCTCCAATGACTAAGAGCAGAAGACAGTCACAATCATCATAATTGAATAACTGATGGCTGAGTCATCTAAATACACTGGGATTTTGGAGGACTAGACTACAGGCGGTGAGAATAAAAAAGGTAAAAAAGACTGTAGGAAGAGAACAGATAGAGTTATATAGCAAGAGTATATCAGTGTGTCTGGTAGGTCGACGCCACGGATAAAAATTCAGATAAAGATTTTCTGGGACGGCAGCGATGTCTCCTCTAAAGAAGAGACGCTACATCGTCAATAAATCATTACGAAATGATCTGCTGAACAGACGGACGTAGCCGGCTGGGAGAGATGGAGGCTGGAGAGATGACTGACAGAGGTTAAAGGACAGAGAGAGAGAAAAGAGAGGGGGAGAGAAAAGGATTGTGTGCAAAGAGTAAAAGCCGCTTGTGTGTGTTCACATTGTGCCAGTTTACATGTTCCAGCCTGCCAACAGTCCATTATCTCAGAGAGAGGTTGAATGGTGCAGGAGTCTAAATGGCTGCTGGGTCGCTGTCTACAGATGTCAAACCCATCAGATGGGAACCTACTTTACCATGAAACTCGACAGCCGGCTGTTACACGGATGAAATCAGAGAACTCCATTTAAGAGGGACCAATTCATTAAATCAACATTGTTCCATTGATTTTGACAGTGTAATTACTTCAGGAAAAAAAGACAAGATTGGAAGCATGTACTTTGCATTTTAAAAAATGTATAAAAGCAGGAAGCAGAAAGAGGAACACTGCTCATGTGACATGCATTTAAAAAGTAATCCTAATTATGAAATTATAATTAATATTGAATAGAAGAAAGATTACATGAATCTTGATTGAAGAAAAAAACATGACAGTTATACAGGGTCTTAACTTTGGAAAACGTACGCACTAAACACTAACCAAAGAATATAGATGAAAATTAGCATGGCTAAATCTGGCACATTTACATGGCTCCCCCGGGGAAACGCACTCGTACCGGACTAAAAGATTCCATTAGCAGCTCCACACTCAGCTGGGAGCAGCGGGGGCCTGTGGTCGTACAAGCCACCCTGTAATAATAATTGTATGATTTGACCCTGAGTTATCTGCTCAAGGGTCCTTGAACAAGGAACTGAATCCCAAAGATTTCCAGGAGCGCTGCCCTGTGGCTCAACCTCAACTCTGACCTCCCAGTAGGAGGGACGAACAGGCTACAGCTAGATTTGCACTCCGCCCAAAACACCAAGAGTCAGTGGCTACAACGGTACAAAGCAGACCTGAGTTCTGCTCATTTTCCCACAGAGTGCTGCTCTTTGTGGCTACATTATCATGCAGACCAACAATGAAATGACCATGTGATCAAGGCAGAAATACAAGCACGGTGCAGCACATGTAAACCCTATAATATGATTAAAAGTGAATGTGATTAACTTCATAGTTACAATGAGCATGATCACAGTAAGATGTGTAGAATACTTCTAACAGAGTTGCATGAATGGAATTTGAACCTGTAAACAACTATGAACTATTAGTTTTTAACACATTTTTCAACACATCAATTTAGCTGCTGAACAAATGCTGAGAAAGTTCTGCCACCTTCTACCGAAAATGACCCCCCGCCCCCCCATATCTTATAGTAGAAAAATAAGATTGGACAGCGGGCCTATAGTGCAGCACAAGGTTACAGCACATTAGCATCATGGGAGAAATGTGTTTTTGAAGGAGAATACCGGAGGGAATCTGTGACATTGCAGAATAATTTTGACAGCGGCGTCTTGAGGCATTAGTCACTTTGCTCGGTAGCATGGAAATGGGTAAATTAACAGAACGCTCCAACAAGCCAGCCATGTAAACATCCTCATTGGTGCGATGCCTTACTCTGGATATTGACTGTAATAAGATTATGTACAAGTAAATGTAGTCTCTCTCTCTCTCCTGAGTGTGAGTGTGAGTGAGAGTGAGAGTGAGAGTGAGAGAGAACATCCGTTTTCAAATCATTTCAGATGCAGGGGATGTTGGATGAACACATGCCGTTTTCTGAATCATATCCTCACTGTTATTCACGCCTGCATCTACTGTCGGCAAGAATCCAACGTACAAGCTGGAGGTGAAAAACAGTGTTAAAGGACAGCTACTCTGTGCCTCTGGAGCAAAGGTTCCCTCAGCCTTCTCATTGCTGCCGCTATAAAGGAAGTTGCTATATACATTTATTTACCAAATGATGTAAGATATCCATGACGAGTTTGCAATTAGGCAGCAAATTTTCTGACCCGGAAGTGAAAACTAACATAAAAAGATGATGAAGAATGTGATGACTGATGAGGAATGATTGACTGATTATGAGTACGGAGGAATGAGAACATGATGCTGTTTTGTAAAGTACCTCAGTTTTCGTTCGTCGTTTACTCCTCCTGAAAATGTGAAGCTTCAGAAAGGAAAACGTGGTTAAAATCAAGCACTGCATTAAAATACTAATTTGCAAAACCATTTACTGAAAACGGAACAAGAAAACTGAAAAAGAATTTTTGAAACATGTTTTGGCTATCAAGGTGAGTATCGGGTTAAACTGTGCTCACATAGTGAAAAGCATTAATGTTGTTGCTATTTGTACTGCTAACCAGCAGTCGAACACAAACCCAGTCCATGTATGCCCCTGTGCCCATGTATTGCTTAGGTTATAATGATGACAGTACAACTATAACAGTCGCACATGCAGACTCTAGGCTGGCAGCGCCACCCACTAAGACATTGATTCTGACAATATAATTACTTAAAAAAAACTAGAATAACTTAAAACAGACTACATGAATCTTAGGGTGCAAAAAATGCAGCATGTTAATTGCCCAAAAGCATTCTTCAGATAAGAGCTATTGCAGATAATCCTGTGATAGACAGGAAGGAGCATAATAGTAGTTTTTTTGTTCACTCTTTGCAAAGCACTAAACTTGTTAAGAGAAGTGGTACACAAACATATGTACACAAGTAACTTTTCAGTTCGATTTCCATCATGCCCTATTCCGACACTAACGAGATGGAAGCACCGACATGGTTTAATGTTTCATGTCATTTTGGAGGGAATCATTAAATTATAGAGCAGTTTATATAGTCCAGGTCCTGATGGGATCGGATATAAAGTGCCACTGATGCCACCGTGGGATGCGGAGTCTCTTTATTAAGCTCTGTTGGACCGTAAAGTGTCCCACTACTCCCTGCTGCATGCGTGTTTAATGTTCAAAACCAATAGGCTCTGTGTGGTTGAAGATGCAGATCACTCGTATATACTGTGTGTTGTTCACAGAAGGTACATTCTGCGGTCACAAGCTCGCCTTCTGTGACAGAGCCACTAAAAACAGCTATTTAAGAGTCATGAGGAACCAAAACTGGACGTCTGGGAAGCGTTGTTTTAGATTTCAGTGCTGGTGTGGTTTCTAGGACCATTAAGGTTTGTATCGTTTGCGGCCGCAAGATGTTTTCAGTTGTGCTCCATTCATGTTGAAAAGAGTATTCTGTACTGAAAAGGATTATTAGGTCATATTCTGCTTCATAGAGTGAATTATAATATTCTTGTCCCCCTTTAGTGTGGACACAATAAAAACTATCGAGAGGTAAAGGGTGAGCCTAAAAACGAAACTGAATGTCTTAACAAGCATCGTCTGTGTGGCCGGTACTTGTTTCCATTTCTGCCTCACACATGTCAATTCTAATGCAAGCAGTCACCTAACTGTTCACAGCAGAAACAAAGTTCTCCGCCCCGTTAAAATAACGCTTCACAAATGACAAATATGTGGAATAACTATCGCAAACAGCAGCGATACTAGCTTATTTTTAAATACTAGTGAATGGGCACATGCTTTGCTGGAGATTGCGAGGCAGCAGCGGTAGTTCCTTTGTATTCCCAACTTTACTGAGAACATACTTAACCGTGACCCTTAAACCTCCTCTACTGATTCAGTGGACGGAGTGAAGAGACATGGTGGAATCCAGGTACTTCAGTTGTACAATGTTTCCCCAATTTATCTTCACAGTAACCTGTTTAAGGTTGAACAGAGCTCTCCGACAAATTCCCTTTATTACTGTAGAAGCACAGTCGTCATCAGTAGGATCTCAGATGAGAAGACGTCCCTGAAAGATTGTGTTCTAGATTGATGTCTGATGTCCAGCTGTCCAGCCCATACGGTCTCATATTCAAAGAATGATCTATTATGAACGACTGACGCAATAGCAAACAAAACCAAAAAGCTTCGTCAAAAGGTACCGAACAAAAACTATTTAAGCTCCAGAGCAACAAAAAGTTTATTTAATGGGACATTCTATTTAAAAAGAAAACAAAATGATTCAAAGCAGTACATTCTCATGATTTTCCCTACATTTGCGTTGATGCATCCACAACTACAGCCAATCAGAAACTCCCGCAGCACAAACTCACCCACTCCATCCAATTAATGAAGAGCCAAACTGAACGAGATGGATGGCTTGTTGTTTATAGTTGACTGACCGGAGAAATTGCAGATCTGCAATGCCTGTGAATAGCGCCGAGGACTTCACTGTTTGTCTGCGTTCTCCGACTCCCACTCTCTCCCTGACCTGTGCGAGGCTCTATTAAGTGTCCCATTAATCAACGGGGAACCTGCTCTGTGCCGTGTTCCTGCTGACTCTCGGCTGGATCAAGGATAGGCCAAGATCCTGCTGGCTGATAAGCCCACAGAGAGGGAGAGATAGACTGGAATATGTTTTTCAGATCTAAAATGTCTTCTGGCCCACATACTGCACTTCTTACCTTGGAATAACATGGGCTTTGAGTAGCTTAATATAATAAACATATGATACCCGCTTGGATAATTCTCAGTATCCAAAGAAGCCAATGAAAATATGTAGTTATTGTAGTTTCAGTCCATATCCTTTTGGTACTTTTTACATTCAGTAACCTGCTAACAATTGACTATTTCCACATTCAGCAGCCAGAAAGTCACATTATCATTCTTTTAGTTTAGAGTCATGTCTGTGTAAAATATGAACAACCTAAAGCCAACATTCACTTCCCTTTTAGCTCTGGTTTGGTCTCCAACTCCAGAGAAACAATGTCTGACTATTTACTGTAGCTGCTAGATGTTCCTCGAGCTTTACCAGCGAATCAAACATGTTCGTCTACCTGCTGTTTAGTGCTAGGTGACTAGCATACACCTTTTGTTTTTACACGCCTTATTCATCTAGGTTTCTGCAGCATGAATGACCCTTTCACGTTACACTAAGGCCCTTGATTTGATCCCATTATCAAAAATATCACTTAACGGGGCTTTAATATATCCTCATGCTACATGCAAATGTTGTGAATGTTCTTTTCCAATACAAGATACAGCTAAATGTCATTCAGTAACATAAAACACCTGAAGTCATGCTCTTATTTTACAGGTAAAAACAAAACTATTTCACTCATAGATCCGTTATCTTCCGGCTTTTATCTTAGCTGGCTGTTGCAATTCTTTCTCCTAGACTGTCTTTATACTGTGTGGCTTTGAGCATACACATGTAATAACAAGCATACGACATATCTGCAGACGTCTAGTGTCCTAAGGTTTTCCATATTGCAATAACTATAGGCAATGTCTTTAAAGAGTGAACACATATATACACATCATTTCACAATGTGACAGTGATAAAGCGAGAACATGAAGGAGATGTTTGTGCTCAGGGATGTGTACATATAGGCTGTGCAGTTACACTCGGCTCAGATCTAAACTCAGCAGCTACCGTCCCCGCTGTGTCAGCTTCTTCTGCTCCCACATTGCTTTTTATTATCTTTATTGTTTCATACCCCCCCCCAAAAAAAACAAAACACCACCATCACCAACATCTCTGCTTGCCTGCCACTTTCATCTCCAGCCTCTCCTCTCTCCATCCTGTTTTCTTCTCTTTTCCTCCTACCCTCTTGTACTCCTTCAGGTGTCTTTGTCCATCTGTCCTCGTCTTCCCAGTCCAATTTAATTTCTCCTCCCTTGCTGGCATTTCCTCCCTCTAACCCTTAACTAATCTCTCCAAATGTATTCTTTCTGTGCTGCCTCCACCTCCGTCTGCACTCTTTCCCTCAATGTATTTTGGGCCATTTCTCCCTTGGTCTAAGGCTCACTTTCTCTACACCGTATCGTCTCCATTTTTCTGTTGCTGGGAATAAATGTTACTTCAGCCTCTGTTATTGGCCAGCTATTCTATGAAGGCTGACAGGGTCATTGATGTGTTGACACCGCTATGACCCTTGGGCTCTTGACACTTCAAACCCCCCATGTCGTTTTTTCTTATGTGTTCAGAGGAGGAAGTTGCTTTCCAATTGGAAAGTGGGTCATTGCAGCAGCATGAGTAGAGGTATAGGTTAGAGTACAAAGTGTACAAAAAGAAAAAGAATGACATTTCTAGGCAGCTCAAATTATTTTGGCAGTTCTCACTTTAAGTCTAAGGATTTCTATGTCATTGTCTTGCAGTTATGGACAACCAAAATATCTTTACACCCACAGGGAATTTGTCCGAGTCTCCCATCTTCTCATCTCAGTCCCTACTGCCCTTTTAAAAAGAGATGTGTTCTTGTTCATTAATGTTGACTGAAGTGCCCCAGATCCCCAGAGTAAGATCTGACTTCACATCCCTTTGGCTGTGCTGTAGAACCCCTCCCCAACAAGAACATCGACATCTTTTTGTGGGCTTCTCATTTCACATCCATCTCCTCTGTTTCTGTTCTCCCTCTTGAACCCAGGTCAGTCAAGAGAACTGCAGTCATTAGTGCAATTACTTTCACTCCCGCTGCTGGTATCAAAAGACAAAATATCGTCATACCAGCAAAAGTACAGGGAGCCTGAGTCAAAGAGCCTTCTTACAGGGATACTAATAAGTTTCAGCTAATGAGCTTTAGCCGGTCTCTTTGCTCAAAATTCTGGAATACAATAAAAGCATCTACAGGTTTGGCACTGCCGCGGTTAAACGCTGTCATCCTCGCTAGTCAGCAGCAGAAATAGTCGGATATTACCTCTCTGCTTAAAACAACTATTTATGCAAGTTCCTCACCAAAACTACATTTTTACAACACATCATGATAACGCTATAATTTACCTTCGTTTGCTGAATAAAGCATGAACGCACTATGTACTGTGTACTGTAACTAAAGAGAACCTACGTATGTTATAACATGGTTACTAGCTCTCCTCCTGCCGATTTAAACACGCATTCGTTATTCTCAATCGGAGAATTGTTCTAATCACACACCAAAATTTTTCAGTAGCTCCCAATTTTCCAAAATGGTCAGGGCATTGAATGTCTAGTCATGTCATTTATTTATTCTTTAATCAGATATTCACTGGGATAAATCACCGGTGTGCTGAGTTTACACTATTTTAGTTTGACAAACATCTTGATGAGCTGCTTGTGTTTAGTCAATATTTAAGGTTAAAAAAAAGTTGTACAAAACATGTTGATATTCCTTAAAGTTAGGTATCAAATAAAAGTAATGAAACTGGTATTGTCTCGGCTCTAGTATTGCATAATTTCAAATGGTACCCTTCCAAAGCAAAATGAAAACTTCTATTTTTTTACCCGAACCGTTCAAACTGTTGATGAAAAACACTTAAGTGAGCAACATGGTTTAGCTTGCTGCATCACACAGTTGACTCAGCTTCTAAATAGCTTTCCTCTTGCCGCCGTCTCAAAATGATTTTCATCTTTTATTCAGCAAGGTTCACTTTCCACGACTGCAAATTCAAGATGCATCTGGGAAAACGGATTCTCGAGAAGATTTACATAACGTCAGTAATTAATATGGTGGTTCCTTTCAGCATCATATGCCGACTGCTGCAGTCAAAATAACCAGCGTTCACGAATCTGTTTAATGTGCACATTAAACTGTTACCCTTTAAGTGCTGAAGCCATCAGGGTTTACAAACTGCTCTACAGAATGTCCTTTACATTTATAAGTAGATGTTAAATGGACTCCGCTGTGTCAGTTCAATTGTTTTTAACATGGCAGCCTACATGTATTCTGATTGAACAGTATTCATAGCCTTGCCCTGGGTGACAAAGTGTTATTCATTAAAGCGTGTTGTCACTGAAGGTGTGAACATTGCTGTGAAGATACTGCCAACAACACTGTGAGCAACGGTGTCAAACGCACATGAATGGGACGGCAACACAACCACGACCCTCTTAAACGTGGAGTTTGATATTTTCATGCAACAAGTTTAAAACTTGTGTTCATGATACATATTGTATAATGCTTGTATACTTGGGATATTGATGCATCACCAGGGGATTATATGCTCTCAATCAACAAAACAACAAGATATCAAACTACTATCAACTCAGGATTAGGACTTCCTTTGATGATAAAGTAAAAACATCAGTTAGATTAGTCATATAGGTTAATTTAAACATATGTCAAGTAATTAGAAATGGTCAAACCATATGAATCCCTTAAATTTTTATTTTATTTTAAATCCAAGACTGGATTAAGTACAACTGCATTCAGTTAGCTTGCATCAACGAAATGAAATGTTTGATAAGTAATGCGTAATTCTGCAACTGGGGTGGACAATATGAATGAAGTTATCACCATAATATTAATAAATTACAGTTTCTAATACATAGATAAACAATTTGGATAAAGCAAAAAGGGGGATCAAACTGCTGAAGATGAAATATGAAAAAGAAAAGTTTTCCACTGTAAAACAAATAACTACTTTTCTTTGTTGGACTTCAACTGCAGCTTGCTCAAAATCATAAATTTGACTGAAAATATATGAAAGGATAACAGCAAATCTATTAACATATGAACTGGCTGGAAGTCAGTCAACAAATATTCATCCCTGACAAAAATGATCATCATTGTATATTTAGTTGGCTCATACAAGGAAGCAATAGCTACTGAGAGAAAATATCCTTACGATGCTGTATAACAGAAGTTTGCATGTAAACGTTTACACCATATGAACTGAAGATTGCAACATTTATCGAGCGATCACTTAAACGCTGCTACTCTCAGCAAAGATCACAGTCTCCTTTATTTGTCCTTTTAATATTATCTTTATATTATCATTTCATCATGCTGGTTTGCCATGCATGAAATTGGGTTGATGACTTGTATTGCAGTTTTTATCAAATTAACGTTATCAGTAGTAAACTTGGTTTTCTTGAAATTGGTTTTCTTTCTACACTTATTGAGGCTGGCAGATACTATAAATGTATTATCACTCAGTGTTAATTTCTCATGAAATAATTCAACAAAACTAGAACTATATTACCATCAGAAAATATTCTGTTGTACAAATATTCACAAATTGAATGGCTGCTCTGTCTTTAATTATTTTCTCTAATAACTTATAATTATACTGTATATGCATTTACAAGTTGTGTGGTGGACATTAAAGTTCTGAAAAATGACGCGCAATGGTTTCCTTTATATTTGAAAAAAATGGACCTTATTTATATTAATATGTAGTGTCTTGTATATGTAAATACATCATGTGTCACATGCCTTTGGAGGCCAAATACGACAAAGCCTACCTCCCTTGCATTAGTAGGAACAAACAAATTAACACAAGTGCAGCTACTCCGCCGCATTAAATCAAATTGTAGTGAGGCGGTGTCCTGAAAACTACCGTTACCCTGTTTCACATTTCTACAGTCTGTCTCACAGTCTGCTCCTGTCCACAGAAGCACTTTGCTCTGGTCTGGGATCAGTTTAATACAATGTGTGACTTACAATTGGTCTTACAGAACATCCATAGTATCGACCAGTTCACAGGATGTTACTGCATTTCCGAATGGCACAGGTGGAACTGGCTTGTTGATCTTGCACTAGTCACACATTGCCTACCAGTATACAAACTGCATTGGTTGAGTGTTGAATGATCAACGTCCACATTAAGACGATATGTATACCATAGATATTCTTTCGCCAGATTCAAAACAAAGACTTTGCAAAACAAAGACTTCGCACACAATGACAACGCCATTATATACTTTAATATTTAATTTATGTATGTTTTGATGGGAAACATTTTGAGTTTGCCATGTCCTGGTGTAACAGCAACAACACCCATTACAACGGCTGTTGCATTCTCAAAAGTAACTGTTGAGACAATCCTGCACTGCCGGTGCTGGATTGATAGTAGCAGAAGGAAAGGTTTCACAGTTACATTTTCTCCACAGAATGTGTGAAAAATGAACTACCATCTCCGAAATAACTGAAAAAGCCCATCTCTGAGTCTCATGTTGCGCAGTTGTTTTCTAGTTATCTAGGGAGGATGTATTTTTAGGAAACCTAGAGGGTAACATTGTGTACAAATGCAGGATCTTACAGTAGGATGATTTCACGTGCACCATCTTTTGTAGTTGGACACAGAGAGTGGGAAATGTATCCACGAAGGGCAAAAGACATGAGAATGTTCAATCGATTTGAAATTGCTAATTAGTAAATTTCAATGACCTCTAACTTTGGATATGAAATAAAGTGTAAACACCTAGTGAACGTGTGGACAAGCTGCTTGTGTTTGATTGGCTCTTACCTTCTCCATCTCGCCGCTCTTCCTCTTGTGTGCCGAGCGCGTAATTTTGACGGTGACGGCATTCTCCTCTCCCTGGCGTCGTAAAGCCATGCGGTTTGGCTGCAGAGGGCTGAAGGAGATCTCCAGCTCCGGCCGGGGGAAGCGGCTCATCCTGCCGTTCTCTGTGGAAATCTCAGAGGAGTCTAGCACTGACGGACAGCCAGCTGAGCTCTGTGGGACCACACGTGATTTTAGATTAAAGGTCATTTCCTGGTCACGCAAGAGAACAGATGTGTCTAGGTCTGAGAATACAGGATTGTCTGTGTGCTACGACAAGGTGTCGAGGTGAGCCACCACAAACGCCAAGGTATCCACACGCAAGACGGCATCCGAAAAGGTTCGGGCTGCCGAATATTGACTGCCCACTCATCACTGGCAACCTCTACAATGCTCACGTACCTGTGTGTCTTATGAATGTAAAATAAAAAAAACTGATGCCTACAGAAAAAATACAAAACATACAGATGCCTCTGAGCCGCAGAAGAATAAGGGAATTGGAAATCATATTCTGCTGTAAATGATTCAGCCGAGTATTAAGATGAGGTAACTGGCCACGTATTCTTTTTTTTGTTCCGAGTTAATGTCTGGCCAGCTGCTGGCTCACTGGAGTATCTCCAAATAAGTCATCTGTAGACTGAGATAATGTGCAGACCAAAGTGTGAGCAGTAACTACCTCAGACAACCTTATGTCAACTATCTAAAGCATGACTTTAAATAGGATGTTTGGTTTCTTTCGCCAAGTGTTTGGCAATGTTGAAGAAATAAATTACAATAAAGACGATTGTTTCCTGAATATTCAGTAAAATATGTGATGGGCATTTATGCTTTTCTAGTTGCCAATCTTTGAAAATATTACATTGTAAACAATCGATCTGTGTTTAAATTGACAGGAGGAGCTGTGAAGATGGCAGCATAAACGTTATATTTGCTCTTATTGGTCTTTTGTGCTGATCCGATCCGTGACTTCCATATTCATATCATCTCATGGGCGTACCTGACTGCTGACTGACGCTCTGGTATCCCTCCTTCCTCCTGATTTCCTGTTAATGGTTTCACACTGGGGTTTCCCAACCAACATCGCAGGGCTCACATTGCTTTTAATCTGTCACAGGCAGAATAAGAAATTAAAAATCACATGAATCATGATTACAAGAATAACATCCAAAGCATTGAAGAGCATTCAATGCATTAATGAATGCTCTTCTACCTACATCTATATGCCAGGGGACAAAGCTATAGAAAAACATAGAACACAATCCGATGTATCTTAAAGTGCCTCCTCTGTTTCTGGAGCTGAAGGTGTTTCACGTACAGATCCTCTTAAATCCACCAGACAGTCTGTCAAACAAGTTTAATACTAGCAATTTCAACACACACAAATCCTTGCTGTACCATGATTAGCCATGATGCCGGAGTGGTTTGAGAAGCTTACTCAGTTTTGAAAGATTCCTATATAATCTTAGTTGTGCTTCATGTAAAAGATAAAATGCAAGATCATTCTGATAAGCTAGAATTGGATATCTCTCTTCGGACTCCTTTAAACTTGCAACATTTTGATCCACCCTGAAAACACAGCAAGAGGCATAAATTCAAGAGGACCACCTTTCAAGCAAGCCTCGGTGCTTAAATGATGTTTATATTCCTGTAAGACTGACCTGTGTGGCTGCATCCTCCTGTTCGGCATTTAAGGCCTTGAGCTGTTCCTTCAGTCGTGAGATGTCTGCCTCCCTTTCAGACAGTGCAGCCTGCAGCTCTGCCACACAGACGGCATCACCACCACCGCCCTGTAACGGGAAGATCACGGACACCGAGGACGTTTTCTGTTCAGTCCTCTAATGTTCTGCTTTTCAACCAACATGCTATCCAGAGCTTTCAACAATTAATGCGATAGATTAAAGCACCTATAATGGAAACTTTACAAGCAAACAATAATGAGTCATTTAAAAGGATTCTTTTGGACTAGACACTACATAAATTATTACATATCAGTTAGAATCCACTAAACTAAAAGTCATTTTCATCTAAAAATTTCAACAGTATTAAAAAATGGCAGATTTAAAATATGTATGCAAAAATATCATTATTTATTATGACCGTGACAAGTTGCTACTTCACACTTTCTAATCATATTGTATACAAACAAAATAATATATTGCTTTCCTACACAAAGATGAGGTTGCCATTTACGATCGGAGATTCAGTTCATATTCAGGGAAAACCAAAAATAAGGCTCCTGAACATTTTGAGCGAGCACGGAACCATGGAAACCTTAATAGGCATGACCAATATCCACAAGATCATGCAGTACGTGAAACAAATGACGGAACTGCTTCTAATGCACCACGACTCCGGCTCCCAACTCTCATCGCTCCCTAAAAACATGAAATGCATGAGTGTTGACAGAAAGATCCTGGAGCACAATATAGTGTTGGCACAGAGCGACGTATAGCTAGCATGAACGACAATAAAACAAGAAACGTCTTTAAATGCAAGAACAAAATGACAACTCTGCTTCATTCGGCATGAAACTTCAAATGGTTTCCAAAGGAGTCTGAGCAGTAATGTTATGCTGGGATAATATAGCAGTACTGATCTAACGCAAGCCAATACAAGTCATGCAGTCAATTCCATTTTATGGAGCTTATCATTTATGATGCCATAAGTACTAGAACTTTGCATTAACCCACCAATTTATTAACTTACTAAAATTTCAATATTAAGTCCAAAAAGTTATTTTTTTCAGTAATTAACTTCACTGATTATAAACCTATTTTTTGACAAAAAGGTTCAGTGTATTTATGTCTCAACACTAATAGTTGCGTAAACATTTGGCCTCGGACCGGTCCAGAGAATGGACCAGTGGCACAATCCTGAAGTAGCCTTAAGATGGACTCCACAGAGGAAACAAGGGAGGCCAAAAACAACCAGGCGGAGAACTCTGACCCCGGAACTGAAATGGGCCGAGCTACCTTTGGGCCGAGCACAACATGCTGCACAGGATAGGACCAGATGGAAGCAGATAGTCGCAGCATTATGTTCCACAAGCAACGAAGAGGATTACGGATGTAGTTAAGATTCATTCACCAACACAAACAAGACGGGGCATCCAGTGTCATCTTATGATAAAGACGATACACGATTAGGGACTCAAAAAATACTGAAGTCAACACTTTGTCTTTATAGTTACTGGTGTTTCTGCAGTGGACTGCGTGATATTAAAAAGGTATGTACAAGTCCCACATTTACATAAATGAGGAGCAGAAAGAAGAAACATTTCTCTTTATAATTCACATTTTTAGCAGCCAAAAAGTCAACACAACGTAACGCAGTTATGTCTAAAATCTCCTTCAAATTTAGATTACATTTTTAAGGCCATGACAGAATCCTACATGTTCAAATGTTATTTATCAATAACAAAAAAAATGAATTAATCCTTTTAATAATCCGAGTATGATTAGCACTGCAGCTTGGATGTTTCATGCATCGATTCACTTCAACTCATTTGTGGTTTTTGGGATACAAAGGCGCCTTGCATAAAATTAGCTGCAATTTCTCAACCAAATTTTTAAATGAATCTAGCTATACGACAGATGGAGGCGAACATCAAATTAATTTGGTGAATGGTTGCAGCCTGCCCTTCACACTGCCTGTTCTGTGGTTATCCTGGGGAAGCTGTCTGGTCACAGTGAAAAATCGAATAAAAGCTCAGTGAGGACAGAATGTGAGGGAGCAGAGTGCCATACACTGAAATGTCATGTGTGTGTGGAACAGAGATATGGCTCCAAGTTCACAATGCTACAAAACCACCTGCAATTCACCAGAGAGGAAAGGAAAGAAGGAACGACCAGTGCTAAGAAAGCTTAACAGGCTACTCAAAAGTGTGACAAAACTGGAAGAATCTCTTCCGCCAAGTAAACTCCTCTGTTGTGCAACATTACCGGAACCAATTAGCAGACAGGGTTATTATTTATCTTCATTAGTGGAATTATGTTACGAACTGGGTTCCAAAGCAGCCCTTTCCTTCCTTTCGGTAAAGTTGCTGGCTGAGAGATGTTTTCCAATCTCTTTCCCTGCACAGCAGTCGGAAGTGCTGGGAGTAAACCCTATCTAAAGGGTAAACCACCACGGGATGAAACGGGGCAGAACACGGTTGATGTGGCTCAAACTTTCAGTGAAGTTTCACCTCTCTAACAACCAATCAATGCTCTCACAGCAGGTGTTTTGTCTTGACAGATGATGGGAACAAATTGCTCTGACATTATTGATTGGGGTGTGTACAGAGGTGAAACAGACTACTGGGATGTCTCATATACAGGAGAATAGCTACTATCTTTAGTTTTTACTGAAGGTTGATTTAACCATTAAAATCCTCAGGATTTTATACACAAGAGGGACGCTATCTGACTTAGAGATGTGATACACTAATATCCCTTGTCTCTATGTCCCCTATAACTGAAGCAGATTTAGCATTATTAGATGGTTTACATCGTCAGTGGTGTGGTCCCTGTAGCATGTGTTATTATCTTTATGTTACACTGACCTCTTGTGGTGGCTGTGTGGCATTTTGTTGGAGCTGTTGGATGAGTCTGTCCTTCTCTGCTTGGCTGGATAGAAGCTTCTGTAGCTGGACCTCCAAAGCTGCTACCAGAGTGTCTCTCTCCTTCCTCCACTTCTCCATGATCTGCTCCTTCTCAGCCAGCTGGGACGATAAGGACTCCTGACAAAGAGGGAAATATATATGTAAAATATGTGTGTGTGTGTGGGAAGAGACAATACTAGTTATGTACAGTATGTGTGTGTGAGTGAAGAGATCAAGAAAAATATCTTGTTTATTTATATATTAATATTAGAACACCACCAACTGTGCTTTGAGATTAATTCTAACATGTTGACATGTTACAGCTAGTGTTTCATTTCCTACCAACTGGCTCTGCTGTCGGGTGTAGCGCTCTCTGTCTTCGGCAAACTTCCTCATTTCCCGGTTCCTGTTGTCCTCCGCCTCTTTAGCTTGGCCAATCAGGGACAGCTTCTCCTCCATCCACTTTTTCCGCTCGGCCTGGTGTTTCTCTGCACGCAGCTGTACACAAAGTGGTTATTCTTTTTATTTATTAAGAGGATGTCAGTTTAAGTATCTGGAACACGTTTAAGGTGAAATCCCTGATAAAATGCATTTACCAACAAAAAGGTTGGTGCCCACTACAACTGTCCTGTTCTGACCGTCCTAGTTCATATAAAGGACCTCAGCACATACATGTGATCAGGGTGAGTTGTCTGTTTACTGTAATTCCTTGTTATAACAAAGTGTTGTTTTTGTTGGAAGATCTGTTAGAGGGATATATAAATACTGTTTTGCCAACTTGTCTGAGAATCTCTTAAATATTCGTCATCCATCAAATTGTTAATAAGGTTTAACTAATTATCTATAATAACCAATATTCCTATTGCAATGCGAACCTTTTTAATGTTAACTCAGAGAGCACACATTTCTGGTCCCACCATCTAAATCCACGTTTGAAGATAACTTCCCTTCATTACCTTCAAGCTTTCCTGAGCCTGGGCAGTTTCTTGTTTGGCCAGTTTGAGGTCATCTGATTGGCTGTCCACGTGAAGGCGAGTGCCGTTTCCACGTCGGTCCTGCTGCAACAGCATCCCCTTCAACTTCTCCACCTCTGTAATGGTTCAAACCAGAGAGCAAGACACGACACAACATTAATATTTGCATAGCATTCAAAGAAACTAAGTACTTTTATTATTCATTTATATAACTTCCAAACATAACATTGTCTACACATCAATCCTCAGTTATTTTACACCCGTTTAGAATAAACAAGTAGGAGTTATTATCTTTGTCTAGTGACAGACTTCTATGACTTCCATTTCTATACTTAGAAATCCTTTAAGTAGTCCAGCCTCCAAATTAGAAATAATAAACCTGTGAGGTGGAGGAGAGAGTCCACCGATACTTATGGCAGTTGATCTGGTTTTGAGCCTGTGAGCACATAAAGCTTTTCTTTTTTTTATTGCTTTTGCTCTCATGTGTGCCATACTTCACACTCTGCATCCTCTGTTTCTGACCTCATAGTGACTTAACACTGACTGACTGACTCACTGAACTGACTTTGGTATCCAATTTAAATGTGTTATTACTGTGAGGAAATACTAATTTACTCCAGTCTCAGTGTCCAGTCAGTTTCATTTAATGTCGTTTAAGAACATTCTGGTTTCTCTGCAGCTTTCAAGCATAAGATTAGACTAAGCGGCCCGTGGGCCAAACCCCTTTCACAACAATAAAATACACATTATTTTCACTATGTCTGTTTTCTGTTCATGTTCTTTCTTTGATTTTTTTCAAATCCTTACCGCTAGAGAGTTCCTGGATGAAGTTAAGTTTCTCCTCCAAGACCTGCTCCATCTGGTCCTGCGTCTCCTCCTGCTCCGTCAGAGCTAAACGCATGTCCTCCATCACACGCTCCTTGACTTCAAGGTCTACAAAGCAACAGAAACACACACACACACACAGAACGCCATAAACAACCAACACCAGGCCAGAGCGATATACTGTAATATGTTGATCCCGGAGGTACTCTTCTTTGTATTGCCCTTCCACAAACAGGTCAAAGTTCAGCCAGAGTTTTAGGACTTTACAACAGGGAGATTCACTTTCAGCACGTACTTAAAGATGTCATCTTCAGCTCTGGGAAATTTTGGGGATTTTTTACTATTTCATAATATGTTTAAGACAAAATGATTAATCTGATAAAAATAACAGATAGATCAATATTGACAATAATCATCTTTTGCAGCCCTTTATAAGAGTGGCCACTCTTATACCAGTGATTTAAACGGCAGATCACTTCCCACAAACAGAATGTTTTTCTTCTTGTGAAGCCAATGCAAAGACACACATCATTTACCTTTACAGGCCTTCTGGTAGAGCGTCTGGTCAGACTTGGTGTCAGATGATTGTTCCTAGAGGAGGGAAGGAGATGGAGAAACAAGGTGAACATGAAGATGGACAAGGAATACACCAGTATGCAGGATATATAGAGTTATAGCCTTCAGAGATTTGGTCTGGTAAATAGATTATTTTACCACTTTGAGTTGCTGAATGGTTCTGTCTCTGTTGGCAACGTCAGACTGAAGCTGCTTCTTGGCTTTCTCTGTGTCAGACAGCTTCTGCCTCAAAAGCTTCTCCTCTTCTCTCATGGCAGAGATCTTCAGGACAAAAACAAACCGTTATTATAGAAAAACGTAATATAAGCTATCTGCTGTTCATATCAGCATCCAATTAGTATCCAGCTATCCAGTGTTTGTTTTCACATTTCCCTGAATTACATTTTTCTTTTCATCTTATCATCTTTTCAAGCGTGGATGAAAATATTACAATAGTACACCTTTAAAAACAGAAAAAAGTTGAATCTGACAATTAAGTATGTTAATGCCGAATATGTGCGAGTCCTCCGTAGAGGCTCTTGTCTTCGCTATCCTATCTTTACACACTGGATCTCTTTTAGCCACAGAAGCTGGTCACTCTAAAAACATTAATTTATTTGTAAATGCATTAAAATGCCCACTATTGGCCAATGACTTTGTCTGAAAGACATTTTGGGGGTTTTAGGTAGTGAGGCACAGAGACATAAAAGAATGCTGTGTACCTCCTTCTGGACCTGCTGGATCTGCTTCTTGTAGTCGGCTAGCTTCTCTCGGAGGTCTGAAGTGCCGTCCTCCTTCCTCTGGAGGTCAAGGCTGAGGCTCTTCACTTTCTCAGAGTCCTGCTTGGCGTTTTCCTTTAGTCTGGGAGAGTGAGACAAGACAACAATGAACTGCAACCGATTCTTTAAAACATGACAGGACAGTGCATTGTGGTCCAGAGCAACACCATTGCTCCGTAATACAGAGAGTGGACGGGTGGATTAATGCAGCTCTCCCTGGACCCAATGTACTAGTGGAGAGATGGCAGGCAAGGTAATAAGGAGAACATGCATTTACAGTGACAGAATAATACAGTTTAGAACGGAGACACAACAAAAGGGAATTCAGAGCGACTGCTTCTCGTATACTAGTTTTCTCTGCAGCTCGGGGGGAATATTCTGCTACAGGGAGGATAGTAAACAACTCCAGGACAAAATACTCGTTTAGAGAGACTGCTTTCTGATCGGCACATTACATTTAGATATTTAACAGATTATTATTCTAAAAAGCTAGCATTGCAGCAATAATTGCTAATTGAAGAGCAACAGTATTTCTTAGTCACGGTCTTTGCTATTTTCAACTTTACTAGACATCTTGAAGATGATTTTGATGCCAAATATTAAAAAGATGATGAGTAACCGTTTCAATTACTTTTGCACAGAGACCTGTGACTGACTGGAAGGGAGAGACAAAAGACAATATAGAACAGCAATGAAATATATCTTCGTGACGCAAAGAACCTTTGGGACTGTTGTAATAAACACATGTTTGGTTGATGAGTCTCATCTCCCTACTCTGTTTCAAAGTAGTATTGTCTCATCAAGGGTCTTGGAGGTGTTCAGCAGATACCCTTACCCTCAGAAGTTTATAGTAAGTTCTAAACTAGACAAGCATTGTTTTCCTACTTTACGTCTTCATTCATTAAAGTAATATTCTCATCTCTGGGCCGGCCTCAACCACTAAACCTGATCTACGGTTTGTATTCGTTAACCTTGGGCGACACGTACACCTGCAAAATCAAGGGACAAGTTGAACATACATCAGAATGCTGCAAGCACATGGATGTTGAGATTTGATTAGATATCAAACTGGAAGCATAACCCAAAATGTCATTATCTGGAAAGTCGTGTATGGGACAGAGCTCTCACAGAGCTGAGTAGTAGAATGCCGGGCTTAGAAAAGGCAGTTTCAGTATCTTTAAAGTCAAATTTAAGTTTTAAGACATCTATGAACATGTTCTAATCTTTGGAGAATGTAATTGATCGGTTACCTGTTGATCTCCTCGGCCTTCTTCTCCAGCTCTGCATCCTTCTGAGCGATGGCCTCATGCGCCACAGCCAGCAGCTCCCGGCGCCTTTCCACCTCCCGGCGCCGAGCCTCCTGGACTGCCTGGCTCTCCTGCTCCTCCCGCTGCTCCTGTGCCTCCTGCAGGCTCTTCTGCAGGAGTTTTACCATTGCCTCTTTTTCCAGCAGCTTTTTCTGCAGCTCTGCAGACACTTCCGCCGCCTCTGCTAGCTTCTCCTCCATCCGTTTGTCGTTTTCTTTTAGCATGCTTTCGAATTCTGACGAGGCTTGCTGAGCTTCAGTTTGGTTGAAAACCTTTGACCTCAGGGATGCAATCTCAGTCTGGAGATCACAGTTGAACTTCTTGAGATCCTCTTCAGCAGCAGAGCTAGAAGAATTGTTTGAACCTTTAAACTTAGTTTCTTCTAATTCGACCTTGAGCAGCTCTGCAGTTTGCTCCTGCTCACTGAGCTTTAGCCGGAGATCATCTACAAGTTTGCCGAAGGTTGCTTTTTGTTCACCAAGTTTGCAATTTAACTCCTCCAACTGCTGTTGTGATATCACTTCCTGTTCCTGTTGCTTCTCATTGAGCTCCTGTGAGGCCTGAGTTGGTTCCTCAAGTTTGTCTCTCAGCTGTTTTACTTCTTCTTTGGAAGCACGTTCTTGGCATTCGAGCTTGGACCGGAGTTCATCCAGTGTTCGCTGCGACATCTCTTCTTGCTCCTGAAGCTTCTTTCTTAGTTCTTCAACTTGCTGTTTTGAAGCTGCTTCCAGTTGATTCTGCTCGTCTGTAAACTGCTGCAGCTGCTGGTCGGAGATCTGCTGTTTGTGTGCCAACTGTTCTTTCGTCTGTCCTAGCTGGCGCTCCAGTTCCAGCATTTGTCTGGCCTTGCTCTCATTTGTCTCCTTTTCCTCAGTCAGATTCTTCCTAATCTCAGACACTTCCTCTCTCAGCTGATCATGAACAACATCAGATGACGATGCTGAAGTCTGCAATTCCTGTTTCAGGCTTTGAACTTCTTGCATCAGGGTGTGGACGTGGGACGTTTTCTCCAGGATCTCCTTGGAGTGTTTGTCCAGTTGTGCCTGAGCAGTTTGTAGTTGAGTTAACACTTGTTCAACGCTCTCTGTCTTGCCGGTCACCTGTGGTTATTTCCAAAGATATCACTTAAGTTAAGTCATCTAGCACCAATACCATTTAATTAAACACAAATAATAAAACAATTTGATATAAAAAGGTTAAATTTGACCAAAAATATTTCTGTTGCCCACCTGGTGCTCTGAGGCTTCCAGTCTGACAGTCAGCTCTCTCACTCGAAGTGCATCACTCTCCTGTTGCCTCTTTTCTCTCTCCTCCACCAGCCTGCTGTTCTCCTTCCTCTCCACCTCCAGAACAGACCGAGCCTCCTCTTTGCTACTCCTCTCTTGAACAAGAGCAGCAATTATGTCCATTCTGCCTTGCTTCTCTTCTGAATGGGCTGCCATGGCATCCTCCTTGGCTCTCCGTTCAGCTTCGAGGGCTGCCATGGCTGTCTTGTTTCCTTCTCTCTCTTCTTTAAGGGATGCTAGCACCTCCTCTTTGCTCTGCTTCAGCTCACTGAGTGTGGCAAGGGCCTCCTCTCTTCCATTAGTCTGGCACTCCAAAGCAGCGAGGGTGTCTTCTCTGCCTCTCTTCTCCTTCTCGAGGGCAGTAAACGCCTCCTGAGTGATAAGAGGAATGGTTATTTCCTATTTGAATGTTTAAACAGCATTGAATAAACTTAAGCTTAAACTATATTTAAGTTCCATTTAGACAACGAAAAAAAAAAAATCAGCTGTTGAGAAGCTCTTCAGTTACTTGGTCATTTCTTGTTTTCCTGGTGAAACAGAAATGCACCGATTGTAATTTTCTTAAGTCTGCACTGCCGATTCCTGTTTTTGCCAATTACACATTTCTTTCTAAGAACTATAATTAGCTCCAGAATAATGTTTTTACCACAAGTCAGTGTAAACCGTCAAAGATTATGAATAATAACCAAATATTTTCTCTCCCAACAACAGGAATTATTCAAGTTTCTAGCCCAAAACTAAATTTTACTAGATTACAGTTGAACACATAATAGCGTTACAATTTGCCTTCGGCCATTACTCTTTTAACTGAATAGAGCTTGGACGCATCACAATGTAAGTTAATGCAACCTCCATTAATGTTAGCTTACAAGCAGGGCTGTGCTAAGGAGGGACCCCATGCTGCGAGTACTCGGAGCAGCATGCATGGGAATGAATTACAATATAATAACTGTCTGATTAAGTTAGTTGTTCCAAATGTTGTTCCTCCATGGCTTACTTTAGACTTGCTGTGCCAGCATAAAACTATAATGTGGCAGAGGCACATGTACAGCTGGTACGAAAGTATTCAGACCCCTTTCAATTTTTCACTCTTTGTTTCATTGCAGCCATTTGCTAAAATCAAAAA